GCCAGCAGTCCTGGATTGTGAGAGGGATGTCCGACTGCCCGTTCAGGCCCAATCCCACTAGGGCAGTCAGACATCCCTTGAGGGGTTCCAGATTGGAGAGGGTGCAGGTTGGGCTGAGGGACACACACTCCTGCCCTGTGCACAAATTCCGTGCACCGGGCCTCTAGTATTCTATAAAATCAGATTAGGTAGATTGAGTGTCATTCAGGACTTCTATATTCTTGTTGGTTTTCTGTCTACTTATTCTATTGATTACTAACAGGAGTGTTGAAGTGTTTATAATTGTGAATTGATCTATTTTATTTCTTTCAGTTCTATCAGTTCTTGCTTTATATATTGTTAAGTTCTGTTGTTAGCTGCATACATATTCAGGATTTTTATGTCTTCTGTGAATTGACCATTTTATTATATGTAATTTACTTCTTTATATTTGTTAATTTTCCATGTTCTGGTTTACTTTTGTCTGATTAATATAGTTTTTGCATGATACATTTTTTTCTATCTTTCTACTTATTCATATTATTTAAAGTGAACTTCTTAGAAAGAGTATATAATTATGACTTATGTCTTTAACCAAAGTGACAAACTCTTTTAAGTGTTGTTTCTAGAACATTTACATTGAACATACATGGTTGGATCCATCATCTTATTTTTTGTTTTCAGTTTGTCCCCTCCTTTTCTTCATTCCTGTTGCTCCTTTTCTGGTTTCTTTTCAATTATTTAAATATCTCTTCATTTTCTATTTTAATTTATCTCTTAGATTTTAAAAGCATAGTTTGTATAATATTTTATGATTGCTGATTAAAATATACATACTTAACTTTTATAGCCTACTTATTAATATTTTACCACTCCAAAAAATTCAGGAAGCTTTCAACCATGTAAGTCCCTTTATATTCCACTCTTTATGTTGTAGATATCAGATGTATCACATCTGTTTACACTATAAATCCTGCCATTCTGTTTGCTTGCAATTATTACACATATTTTTAAAAACTCAAGAGGAGTAAAAAGTATGGCATTTACCCATATATTTGTTATTTCTTTTGCTCTTTCTTCATTTCTGAAGTTTCAGGTGTCCCTCTGGTGTCATTTCCCTTCTATCTGAACAACTTGTTTTTTAGCTTCTTTTTCTTTTTTTTTTAAGCATGTGCATTGGCAACATATTCTCTTATTTTCCCTTCATCTGAGAATGCCTTCATTCCTGAAAGATATTTAACAGAATATAGAATTCCAGGTTGATATTTCTTTGTTCAACTGCCTTATGGCCTCTATGATAAGAAATTCATAATCATTGGAATCATTTTGCCTTTATATGTAATGCAACATTTTTCTCTCAAAAATTTTTAATTTTCAGCTGTTTGGTTATAATGCATCTGGACAGCTTTTTGATTGTTTGCTTATTTTAGTTTATCTTGTTTGGGATCTACTAAGCTTCTTGAATCATTACAGCCATGCCTTTGCCAATTCATCCTTTATTTCTTTCAATAGTTAGCTGTACCAATGTCTCCTCTTTTTCTGGGGCTCCAAAGACATGCATTTTATTCCTTTGAAATTGTTCCACAGGTACATGAGGCTCTGATAACTTTTTTCAGTTGTTCTTCTCTGTTATTCGAATGGGTAATATATATTGATTTTGATATTGATCTTAAAGTTCAATGACTCTTTCCTCTGTCATCTCCATTCTGTAATTGTGCCCATCTAGTGAATTTTTTTATTGCAATTATTGCAGTTTTCAGTTCTTACATATCAATTTGTTTTTCCCCCCCACTCTAAAACATGCTTTATTTTTACTTAGAAATGCATTATGGATATATTCCCAGATAAGTACATATCAATTTACTTTATTCCTTTTTTAAAAAATGTGATAAAATACACAAAATTTACCATTATAATCATTTTTAAGTGTACAGTTCAGTAGTGTTAAATACCTTCATATTGAGTGCAACCAATCTTCAGAACTCTTTTCATCTTGCAAAAATGAAACTATATCCATTAAATAATTCCCCATTCCACAATACCTCCATGGTTCTTTCTTATAGCTTATATATGTTTTTTTACAGATAAGTTCTACCTTTCCATTCATTTCACTCTCTCTCTCTTTTTTTATGTTATTGATTTTTTTAGGAAGAGGGAGAGAGAAACATCAATGTAAGAGCATTGGCTGCCTCCTGCACACCCGCTACCAGGAGTTGAGCTTGCAATCCAGACATATGCCCTGACTGGAAATCGAACCAGCAACCTTTTGGTGCACAGGACAATGCCCAACCAAGTTAGCCATACTGGCCAGGGAAACATTGTTCCCTCTTAAATCATTTAAAGTCATTGTCGGGCCCTAGCCGGTTTGGCTCAGTAGATAGAGCCTCAGCCCACAGACTGAAGGGTCCAGGATTCAATTTTGGTCAAGGGCATGTACCTCACTCAGTTGGGATGCATGTGGGAGGCAACCAATTGATGTCTCTCTCACATTGATGTTTCTCTGTCCCTCCCCCTCCTTTCCACTCTCTCTAGAAATCAATGGAAATATATCCTCAGGTGAGGATTAATAAAGTCATTGTTGGATAAGTGTAACATTTGAGCCATCTTGAGGTTGGTTTTTCTTGCAAGTTGTTGAGATTTTCCTGATTCTTTGTATATTGAGAAATTTTTTTATTATTCCTGTTTTACATATTATAATTCACTGGGGTTTGGTCAGTGTTTATTCTGTAGTTTTAGCTGCTGATCAACCTGGTTGGTACAGGCCATACATTCTGACCTGCCATCAGTGGGCTATGGTTTTATCACTTGAATTTTCAAAGCCTTTGCAATGCTCTTGGATCTATCTCACTTGTGCATCACTCAGGTGGTCAATCTCGGACCTGGTGGTAGTCCACCACCTTGTAGCCAATTCTCAAAGCCTTTAGCATGTTGTCCTGAGTCAGTTGCATGCATGAGCAGCTTGGAGTTGAGGTAGGACTCTATACACAGCTTTCTAAGGATCTTTTCCTCAAGCTCCCTCTTTCCATGATTTCTCCCACGCTCTCCTGAGGCCAAAAGCCTGTTTTCTTGGTTGTCTAGCTAGAAAACTAGAAATCCAACATTATGTGATTTCTTACCTGGTCTATTTAGTCAAGTCATGTCTATCAGTTAGGTCCAAATGACAATCCATCATTTTTTAACAAATTATTTGATACCCATAGCAGTTTATAGTTTATGAAGCTCTTTCCCATTCATTTTTTTAGTGACTCTCAGAACAATTCTATGAAATAAGCAAGGCTTTTACTACTATTCTGATTAAAACTTTACAGAGGAAAATATAGAGTACCAGAAATGTTTTATATGGCTTCTTCAAAGATACTAAATGTCAGCGCCAGCACCAGAAGTGGTCTGCTGGCTCTCTATCAAGTGCTCTTTATACTGAACCGCAGAGCCTTTTGTTGTATGCACATCATATGACATCATACGCAGTGTCAGGCACGTCATAATTAGATGAATGTCCTTAGAGCCAAAAGAAAGACACAAGCACGGCAGTACCTCAACAGCCTATCTGATAACCAAGACGGGTGCTACGTGACTGATGGGCGGGTAGTATATACAGCATGAATGCACCGGACAAAGGAATGATTCACATCTCGGGCAGGATGAAACAGGACAGCAACAGATTTCATTATGCTACTCAGAAGGGTACACGACTTAAACTTATAAATTATTTACTTCTGGAATATTCAATTTAATATTTTCACACTAAAACTATGGAAAGCAAAACTGTGGGTAGAGAGGACACCTGTATACTAACTATAGTGTTGCAAAGAGGAAATGACCATAATTATAAAGTTAAGTTAGAAACCACAGGTGGTAGTAACTCAAGTTCATTTCTCTCTCCACCTATATCCCTGGTGTGGAACATTACATAGCACTTTATAATTAATATTGATCTTGAAACTCAGGAAAGGTCAACACTAATTTGGAGACAATATTGGATTCAATCTAGTCTTCACTCTGGGATTCATGCAGGGGACACTGTTTTACTAGCTCCATGACCACCAACGACCATAACCTACACAAACCTACACAAACTATCAAAAGAAATTTTTATTTTTTTATTGTTTTAAGATAAGGTAGACTTCTGTATGGATTCTGAATCCCTAGTGAAATGGTGTCTTAATTATAAAAAGACAAGTCTTTTCATTGGATTTCTAATCTGAAAGGGTTTGGTTTTTCTTTTCTCTTTTAACTAATATTATTGGGGTGGGTGGTCTCTAGTATGCCCTGCTTTGTCCTAAGTGACAGGTAAAGCAGAGGAGAGACAGACCAAGTGGTTGTCAAGCCAATGGCAAACACTGTTGTCATGTGATCATTGAGACTAGTGGTTCACAAACCTGTCTGCCCATTAGAATTACTTGGGGAAGCTTTTAAAAATCCTGGGCCTTGCCTCATAAAAACCTGTACAGCAGAATTATCCATAATAGCCCAAACCCACAAACAACTCAAATGTGCATAAGCTGACAAATGGATAAATAAAATAAAATGTGGTGTATATATAAAATGGAATCATTTTCAGTAATAAAAAATGATGAAGTCCTGTCACGTGCTACAACATGACGAATCTTGTCGATGTTTCTGGCTCTGTATCCCTCTCCCTTCTTCTCTGTAAAAAATCAATAAAATATATTAAAAAAAAAAATGATGAAGTCCTGTCACATGCTACAACATGACGAATCTTGGAAAGAGTTTGCTAAATGAAAGAAGCCAGATACAAAGACCACATATCGTATGATTCCATTCAGATGAAGTGTCCAATATAGACAAATCTATAGAAAGCAGATTAGTGGCTGTCTAAGACTAGGGACTTTGGGGAGGAATAGAGAGTGACTGCTAATGAGTACAGGTGTCTTTTTCAGGGTGATGAAAATGTTCTAAAATTGAGTATAATCAAATGCAAATTAAACCCACAATGAGATATCACCTCACACCTGTTAGGATGGCTATTATCGAAAACACAAGTGATAACATGTGTTGGCAAGGGTGTGGCGAAAAGGGTTGGTGTGAATGCAAATTGGTACAGCCTCTATGAAAAACAGTATGGAGGTTCCTCAAAAAATTAAAAACAGAACTACCATATGATCCAGCAATCCCACTTCTGGGTTTATCTCCAAAGGAAATAAAATTAGTATCTTGAAGATGCCATATCTAACTTTAGAACTGGAGCCCAAGTTTGGTGTCTGGAGTACGTACCCCAGCAGCTGCATCTTTCCTGCCAGTCTCCATGGCATCTGTGCAATCTTCATGACTAGGACTGTGCCACAACCTCCCCTTCAGAAACTCAGGAACCTGGCTGGAAACGAGCCTCACTTGAAGTACAGTTAGCAGTGCTGGTCTTCTTCCAAACTTGAAGCAGGTCCGACCTCCTGCAAACTGGCTGGCTGGCTAACATCCTGCATCATGTTAGAGAATCGACCTTACTATGTCCCACAATGTCCCCTGCCAGACACTAAATACTGCCATTGCCTGGAGACAATGCACCTGGAACCCTCACCTGCTTGAATGTCAACACTGGCCTGGGCAGGCCAGATATGGCCTGAAATGTCCACTTGGACCTTAGCAACGACTGCTGGTCCCTATGGCTCCCTCAGGCCTGGCCATGACACTCCAGGCTACATCTCCTTTCCTTGCTGCCCTGCTAGTAAGGGTACCTTTGAAATCTTGTTAGCAAGAATATAAAACATTTAAAGTTAATACATTGTTTAACAAGTATTGTCCTTTTTTTAAATTTTACAGCATAAATTCCAATTAAGTGTATTTTGAAACATTTTTGAGAATTTCTGGAGGGATGATGGAATCAATCAAACTACATCACACTCTAACACCAAAAAGCTGGGAAATGGGAGGGCTCAAGTGTGAGTCCCGTTCATCCTCCTGGGTAGTTATACTGACTCCCGGGTCCAGGGGTCACTGGTAGGGCCCCTGCAGGAAATAATCTGAAAAAGGAATTAGAAATATGCCCATCAAATGTGTGGAAGACATTTAACTGAGCAGCAATAATAGATGTGTGGGAAATAGGATGGAGAGCCTTCATGGAGAGCAAGATCATATATTTAGAAACAAAACGTACATGGATATGAGAAGCCAGATTGTAAATGCTGAAAAAATCCCGGGGACACAGATGAGCATGTGTTGCACTAAACATGCAGGGTGGGAGAGCTGCTATCGACCAACTGAGCTGGAAGGCTCACTACAGAGAGCGTATCGTACATTTGTATACTGGTTATTAGAAAGCTCCAAACTGAGAATAAGGTCAGTTCCATATATTTTGTAAAGAAGCAATCTTGGTTCCATAATTAAACTTTAAAAGTAACAATTGCCAGAAAGTTGAAAACCCCAAAAATCAACAAAACATTATAATTCATAGCAAGTATTCATGTTTACTTCAATAAATGACAAATAATTTCATCCAACAATCTTTAAATTGCTTAAAACTGCCAATATTTAACTTCAAATTTCATGATTTTATTCCTTCTGTGTTCTAGTTGCTAAACGCTTGATAAGTCTATTTCTTATCAAAAATGTTTATGCCCAGAGTGAATAAACTGGTGGCTTTATAAAATTATTTTAGTTCAAACGAAAAGGTAAATTTTTGCCAGTCATTTCACCCAGTTGTAAGTTATCTAAACTAAAACAAATAAAAATATAAATTAAATTTTTATATCACTCTCTAAAAACTTTAGGCTTTATTTAGGTTTTAATTTTATGTGAAGCTTACCGTCCCTGAAATTTTCTAATTACATAACACAAGTCTCAATATTCAAAAGTGTTTATACTTTAAATCAGGATGACAGGATGCCGGGAGCCTGAAACAGACTTTCTACACGAAGCCGTTTCCCACAGGAATGTCCCACGGTCTTGTTCTGCGCTCACACAGAGATGGGCTGTCACTGGAGGGCTGTTTTGTACAGTTGGTGTTTTTAATTCTCTAGTTTTTGTTCAAAACATAGACTTCATTTTAATCAGAAAGAGAAATCTGCCATGTCTTCCATTTCAAACTCGTCTGTCCACTTTCGCAGGGCTTTTGCATCCGTTATCGTCCATAATTTTGTAAAACACTTTCGCCTTTTCCTGGAGAGAAAATAAAGTACTACTT